ACCTTGCACATGGGCGCTGCATCTGTCTTGGGCAGCGTCGTCGGGACGCAGAATTATGTCCGGAGGTAGTTTGTCCTGCGCGGAGAAAGAATCTCCGGCAGTCGTGACCTGCCTGCGGTATAAGACATCATGAGCCTGCTGTCGTCGTCAGATGGAGAAAGAACACCATCACCTGCAGGGTAATATATCGCCATCCCGATCTCTATCAATCGGACCTTCTGATCCTTGCTTGAACATATCTCCGAACCTACAGCAACCACAACCACTAAGATGCCATCGCATATCCACTCGGTAACCAACATACACCGTATAGCCTGCATCCCCGGCGACGGCATCGGTGTCGACATAACAGAAGCCGCCGTCCAAGTCCTCAACGTCCTAAGCAAAACCATCGGCGGCTTCGAATTTGACTTCAAGACCTTTGACTGGAGCAGCAAGAACTATCTCGAGCGAGGATGGTACATGCCACCGGACGGTCTCGAGCAACTAAAAGCCTATGATGCAATCTACTTCGGTGCCGTTGGCTGGCCCAATGTGCCAGACCATATATCCCTCTGGTCCCTCATCTTACCAATCCGGAAGTCGCTGAACCAATACGTCAATGTCCGTCCTACACGCATCCTCCCTGGCACCACATCACCATTGTCAAACTGTAAACCCGGCGATCTCGACTGGATGATCATCCGCGAGAACAGCGAGGGCGAGTACTCCGGCCAAGGCGGCACATCTCACGAAGACAGCCCGCACACCATCGCCACTGAAGTCAGTATCTTCACCCGCGTGGGCATCGAGCGCGTAATGCGGTATGCATTCGAAACCGCGCGCTCACGACCACGCAAGAAGCTCACCATGGTGACCAAGAGCAACGCACAGCGTCACGGCATGGTCCTCTGGGATAAAGTCTTCTACGAAGTCGCAAAAGAGTACGAGGACGTTGAGATAGATAAGATGCTCGTGGATGCCATGACGGTGCGCATGACGCTGCATCCCTCCTCGCTCGACACCATCGTCGCGACAAATCTACACGCGGATATCTTGTCTGATCTTGCTGCTGCGCTGAGTGGCTCGATTGGTATTGCGCCGTCGTCGAACCTCGATCCTACAAGGAAGAACCCGAGTATGTTTGAGCCTATTCATGGGTCTGCGCCGGATATCGCGGGCAAGGGCATCGCGAATCCCGTGGGTGCGTTCTGGAGTGCGGCGGAGATGGTACGGTGGGTTGGGGAGGAGAAGGCGGCGGATGGGTTGATGAAGGCGATTGAGAATGTTACGGAGAGGGGGGTTAAGACGAAGGATCTTGGTGGGAGCGAGAACACGAAGGGTGTAACCGATGCGGTTTGTAAGGAGATTGAGACGCTTTTCAAGAAAGAGTAAGTAGGATGAAAGTAGATATGTACATACTACCTGGATATCAATCAAGCCCATCACCCATCCAAAAACACCGCAGGAACCTCACTCCTCCCCTCCACAACCCTACTCCTATTCCCCCTCTCCCCCCTCACCCTCTCGTCCCCCACCTCCCTCAACCCCAACCAATCCCTCCAAACCCTAACCGCCTTCCCCTGTATCAACGCCTTGCTAATCGGCCCAAAATCATTGCTATCCAAACTCTTCCGCCAATTATCCCCTTCAATCCACACATGTCCATACGGCACAACAACCTTACCCACCTCATCTCCATCTCTACCCGCAGCGCTGTCCTCGTCGTGATCGGGTAGTCCGTCTGGAACCCCCTTCAGTCTGTTTTGGAAGGACTGCGGGTCAAGCGCGTAACCCCGTGTAGGATATACGGTATCCCCTTCCACCGCGACAACGCGTTTTATCCCCATCTCACCCGGTTTATGCGGTTTCCAGAACGTCACTACGTCTCCTCTTTTTACGCCCCAGAATATAGCGCCGTCCTTCCCGTCTTCCCCCTTCTCCCCTTTTACAGCCCGTTTCTTGCCATCTCTCCGCTCCTGATACGGTCGCACGATAACATAGTCTTCCCGACCCGTCTCGTGTGCGTCCGGACTGAGGGTCGGTGCCATGGAGGAGCCACGCACATGCTGGATCTCAATGAAGTGGTCGCGGATCCAGAGGAGCGCGCAGATGGCTACGATGCCGTTTGTGCCCCATTTTAGGTAGCGGCCGCCTGTGCGAGCGCGTGCGGTTTCATGCCATCGGGGTGGTGGTGGTGGTGGTGGGGGAGCGGTGCGAGATGGTGTTGCTGGGGTGGGCTTTGATGGATGCGGAGTGCGCGGGGCTGGATTTGCGGGTCGAACCGGTAGTGAGGGCTTCGCGAACGCTTTCGGTGCAGTAGGAGGTTTCGCAGGAAGCCGGATGGGAGGTTTGGGTGGCATTGGGAGATTGGGGTTGTGATGGGGTCTTGGTCAAGGTAACGCGATGTTGCTCGGCAATACTTGCCCGCGTTGCCGTTGGACGTTGGAGGTGCTGCTATTCTTCTGCAGGACCGCATCTATGGCACACATCTAATATCACTACGAGCTCAGGCGGCGCTGATATCAAAGACATATCAAAATGACCGTTTCTAGTATTTCACGTAAGTTCCGGAAATAGTGAATCGATCATAACGTGCAAAGTTCAAGAGGTATATCTAGCTAGATGGCAGCTATAGTACAAGGCCTAATACATATCCACAGTATGCAATCGCTACCATTCGGTCGTTCAATGCTCGTCAAATCCATAACCTAGTCTACTTCAGGGCCTTGATGACGGCGTCGGCGTACTCGAAGGTCTTGGCCTTGCCACCAAGGTCACCAGTGATGGTCTGTAACATCGTTAGCATGTTTTCATACACAAAGATGATGTCTGGCGCTTACCTTGCCCTCAGCAAGAACCTTGAAGATAGCCTGCTCAATGTTGGCGGCCTCCTGGGTGAGACCCATGTGTCGCAGCATCATGATGGAGCTGAGAAGAAGCGCGGTGGGGTTAGCGAGCTGCTTGCCAGCAATGTCGGGCGCGGAACCATGGACAGCCTCGAAAATGGAGCAGTTGTCACCGATGTTGCCGGAGGGAGTAAGACCGAGACCACCGATGAGACCAGCGCACATGTCGGAGAGAATGTCTCCGTACAAGTTGGGCATGACGAGGACCTTGTCGTTGTAGGGGACAGGGTCGGTAACCATCTTCAGGCAGGTGTTGTCCAGCAACTCGGCGTCGAACTCAATGTCGGGGAACTCCTTGGAGATTTCGCGGGCGGTGCTGAGGAAGAGACCGTCGGACATCTTCATGATGGTGGCCTTGTGCACAGCGCGGACCTTCTTCCTGCCAATGTCGCGGGCGTGCTGGAAGGCGTATCGCAGAACGCGCTCAGAGGCCTCGCGGGTGATGAGCTTGATGCTCTGGACAACGCCATCGACTACAATGTGCTCGATGCCAGAGTATTCTCCCTCGGTGTTCTCGCGGATCAGGACAGTGTCGACGTCGTCGTAGGGCGTCTTGTAGCCGGCGATGGATCTGCAGGGACGGACGTTGGCGAAGAGGTTGAAGGTACGGCGGAGAGTAAGGTTGAGCGAGACGTGGCCCTTGCCGATGGGGGTCGCGAGGGGGCCCTTGAGGGCGACCAAGTTCTTCTTGACGCTGGCGATGGACTCGTCGGGGATGACCGTCTTGCCGTCCTCGTTCAGGCGCGGGGTGACGTCGACGGATTCCCACTTGATTGGGACGTTGGCGGCCGAGTAGATGTCCTTGACCGACTGCGCAATCTCGGGGCCGATACCATCACCCTCGATTAGAGTGACGGAGTACTTGCCGTCGCTGCCCTTCTGTCCGTGGAACTTGGCGACTTCGGAGGCGTATGTCCGGGCGGAGACCTTCAGTGTGTTAGTATAATGCCAGTCTAATTTTTCTCTTCCTCTGCGCCCATCTTCTCTAGGCGCAAGAATCGAGTGTCCCGCGGGAAGCTCACCTGGGACAGCGCGGGCGTCCATCGTGCGCGGGTAGCCTGGCGCATGCATTGCCGCGCAGGGGCGGCGAAAGAGCGAGCAGCCAACATGTTGAGGGTATGGGAATGTTGTCACGACCCAATTGGAGCTACACGGTGGTGGTAGCAGGTCGTCGAGGTGGGTGGTCGCGGCGGGAGGGTTGCGCAAAGCTCGGATACAGAAAAAGAAAGCTCCACCGGCCGCGGGATGTCTTCGTGCGCCAAACCGGTCCATTCCGCCTCCGTCATGGCATCCCACCCGCAACCGCCCTGCATTTCACCATGCACCCTCGACTAACGTCAGAATGCACTGGCGATATCTCAAATAGCCTCACTCCTGATCTTCACTTGGAAAAAGGCGACATCATACTGCACCTTCACACCAACGTCACTCGGCGCAACGGAATGTCTCGAACCGAGTGCTTGTCACATGTCACGACAAAGCGACCCAATACATGACACATCGCGACATCCTACTTCACACTCGTCATTCTCGTATACTCTCCACGACCTCACGTCTCTGGTAGGACTCAAGTTCACCAAGGCGCGTTTTGGATCGCATTCTCACCCATCAGCTGGTGTCTTTCATCGTATGTTTCGTGTACAACACCCACCGAAAGAAAGACACGGCCATTAAGAGCCGTTACCTATGGCACTTCTTCATCTCTGGTAGGATGCTCCTACATATCGTAGCTCAGACTGAGACTGCGTGTAACGCATTCGCAGCATTCGGCACCTGAGACCCTCTTGGACTACAAGCCACTTTGAACGCCAGTCCAGTCCATCGCTCCATGATGCAGCCTCTACCCATCGCGGCTAGCGTTAGCATCCTCTCAGAGAATGCGCGCATGAACTCACATTCAGCTCAGTTCGCTATATCGGTGTTTTATGTTGTGTCAACGCCATCCCCAGTCATATCCGTAGTAGCCTCAACACAGAACTACGGATTGCTGTACAGAAAGGCTACGACCGGGCGTACTCCTGAGGTATAAAGCTCAAAACATTCTGCCCCAGTGATCACACTCACCGCACTATCCAGACATCCGTATATATTCACTCCATCTCTTTTGCAATCATGCGGGTCCAAGATTTTGTTTTCATCGCCGTGTTTTTGTGGCCTGTTGTTGTCGGATCGGCTCACTTAGACCGAAGAACGACGCAGCTCCTCGACGTGAGTATTTTGTCATTACCCAATGATTGGTGGTCAAGAACTGACAACGACTTCCTTCAACCCAGTTTGAGGACCTTGAAATCCCCCCTACAGGTGTCGTCACTCCCATTACGATCTACAAAGGCATTCAGTTCACCTCCATCTCCGCAGGAGCGCTGGGCGTCGCAAACATCACTTTCCTGGGTATCAAGCCCAAAACCCCACCGCAAGTCGCCTCAACAGCGTTCCGCAGCACGCTGCCCGATCTTAAACCCGCATCTGTGACGGTTGACTACCCAGATTCACCTTACAAGTCGATCGAACTAGTCTCCCTCTACCTTCATTGCGTAGCCGCACTAGGCACCGGTCTCTTCTCAGCGCTGGTCAAATGTAAGATCAACTTCGAGTGTTTCGGCTCAGATGGCAAGCTCAAAGCCGAAAAGGAGGTCGAGTATGAACCGGACACGCCGCTCCTCATCCCTGTTGAGGAGCAGAAGAAAGTCAACTTTGAATCCAAATTTGTGGGTTGCAAGGATATCAAGTTCGCACTGGTGAGCAGTCAGCTTCCTCTAGGAAGTGTTTTAACGGCGATCGCGACGGATAGTTGGACTGTGGTTTTGCGTCCACGCGATGCTCAGTCTTGATCACCTGTAGCAGAGTTGAATTTTCTATTGATATTTCATCCGTGGATGTCTCCAAAAGAAGAAGCACCATCTGCCACACAGAGCTACCTTGCATTCAACAGACGGTGCTTACGCACCAGAATCACACTCGCTGGTACCAGAAGACTATCAAGTTGACTTTCATACGATTGACTTTCCTGAATCTACTTCTCATCTCTACATGTTCGTCTTATCTAGCCCTTCTTAGCGGCAGCGCGGCGCGCTCCGGTTGCCGAACCCTCTCATGCATTTCATATTCACTTGCTAAGCTTTTCTGCTCATCTTTCTCCACGCGCTTTCTACGAGCCAAACGAGCGACCCCAGATGATAACGCGCACAGCCAGAGCATCATTATGACCATAATCGCAGCGGAAATGGCACCGAAGATGAAGAAGCCGAGCCAGATACGGTATTCGGCGCTTGAAGTGTTTGGTGGGTGTAGAGGGCTGGGATAGGCGGAGATGGTGTTGTTCTGTAGTGGCGAGGCATCGGTGGCGTTAGTAGCCGCAATGGCGAGGCTGCTGGAGTAAGGAATGTTGTACGAAGACGACATGTCTGAAGTTGGTCTGCGCTTAGGTATGAGATGGTTGCTACTATGTTCGTGTGCTTTCTTAGCAGTGTGCTGATACTTGGAGTAGAAAGAGGAACAGACTCTAGACCCTACTTTGCCGGGCATTGTGCGCCAGGTATGTTGAGCGTTTACAATTGCATAAATCCGAGAGCCTACAATGTGTTGGGGTATACCTTTTAGAATGTCGCCGTTGATGTGACTAGCGCTCAGTGTAATTGAACCCGGCATTGTGAGCTCACAGACCTAATGTCCAGTGATAGTCACCATATGGTGCGGAATCTGTACGGACACCGCGATTGAGCTACTGTATACAATTGATCTTCCGCAATCTTCCTAGGTCCTCCTTCATCCCAACTACGACCAGACGTAACAAGACGAAATCACCCCCATTACTTGTTCAACATCCAATATGTCACAAAACAATACTATGGCAGCTTTTACTTGGCCTAATGCCGCGCAAGGAACTGCTTCCTCGGGTACGACGACTTCGTCTTCTGTCACCACTTCGACTGCAGTCGATTCTGGTGTATTCTACTCATCGGATGTCGCTGCATCGACGTCTACTGCTTCAGACGGAGGAGCGTTCTTTTCTTCAGACGTCTCAACGACTGCTGTTGCCTCCGCTACAAGCACTTCAACAGCGGTAGATCCTGGTACCTTCTACTCGTCGGCTGTACCTACGTCTACTTCCACTGCATCCGATGGAGGCACTTTCTTCTCTTCGGACGTTCCCGTCTCTAGCATTGGCTGCCATCATTGCACAGCTTGTACGAAGACGACCTCGACCGCCAGTGCTCACGCAAGTGCGTCTCCTTTCCTAAAGGCAGTCTCGGACAATCCTTGGAATCCAAATGTAGCACCGCCGATTGATGCGTTACCATCGTACATGGATTACGACACGGTGTCCACCCTGATGCCCAAAGCTACCGGAGTCGCTTTCGATCGCGGAACACCTTTCGAGATGGCCGATCCCATAATGCCAATAACAGACGGATCGTCTGATCTTCATTCGACCTTCGCCAAGCGAGACAGTCCCCGCTTCGCGAGAAACCCAGGCCACATCATCGGCCTCATCATACTGGTCCTCGGCGTCGTCCTCGTAGGTTTCCTAGCGATCAAGTACTGTAGGGGTCTGATTCCCACGACTCACGATCCGGAACAAGGTGATAGCCGCCGTCGCTATCCACATTATGAAAAAGAGGTCGTCCGTGGACGACGACGCCGCCGTGACGGCTCACCTTCCACGACCCATTTTGCTGACATACCAATTTCGGAGGGATATGGCATGGATCCGGTTGACCTTGCTCGCGCACAGAACTGGCAAGACGGCTTCGACGAAAAAGGTGTGTATGCTACACGAGATCACGAAGACCGAAGGCCATCCACTGATAACTTCCAGTCAGTCGCAACGCATGGAACTGGTGATAATGCTGGATATCGACTGCAATTACCCAGCTTTATAAGAACACGCAGCTCGAATCCAAAGTCCCGTCCCGTAAGCGATCTGCCGGCGCTCGCCCGTAATCCGGAGTACCCAGCCGGTCAGCCAGTTTCGCCGTTGAGTGCAGACGGCCCACCCCACGATTATAACCGCACGCGAGATTACAGCGACGTATCACCGCTACATTCGCCCACAATGCATCGCGAGAATCGCAGGTAGTCAGTCCGGTCGAATGTCGACAATGTGGTGTGGTTGTTGAAGATCAAACAGGTACAGCTGTCAGACGCGTTTCCAGCTAGTGGAGTTTAGAGTTTCGCATAGGTATCCTGCAATTTTGCTTTTTTTAATTCCGAGACTCGTTACTTGATACAGTGAGATTGGTTCTGCGCCGGCAACATCGTTGGTTTTCGGCGGTTATTTTGGGTGGGTTTCACTTCTTTCATTTGCTGGGGGCTGTGCTTGGTGTGGTTTAACTATCGTGAAGGTCCCGTCCCCACCTGCTATTGTTACCTGCGCATTCGTTCTTTACCTACACACTCATTCAACAACCACACACTCCCTCGTTCGATCGTAACTCTCCAATCCAAATTACATAAATACAGTCTTTTCTCTGTTCATCGCACGACATGCCTGCACTAAAGTTCTCACACCGCGCCGAGCCCATCAACGCCGAACAACGCATGATCGGTCCCATTCCTTTACCATGGTTCATTCCCATGTGTGTCTTTGCGCCTTTCTTCCTCTCGTTCATATGCTGGGTATTTTATCAACAGACCGTGACGCGGTACAAGAACAAGAAGCTATTGGCAGCGCAACAGGAACAACAGCGCTTAGCGACTAAAGAGGTGGAGACGCAGATGCAACAGTTCATTGGGTCGAGCGTGAACAACGCGAATATTCGCGCGCCACCAAGAGCGATGAGGCATCCTGCTTACAGATGAGTGTGATATGGAAGGATTCAACACGAGTATCATGGAGATGGTCGCAGAATGTCAGGCATGATCACGTGCCGTCCATTTGCTTCGGCTCGGAGAGACCAGCAGTAAGTAGTCCACGGTATTATCACAATTCGCAACATTGTCAACTTACGACATTCTACCAGAACACTCTAAACAGCTATTGTGAAAGTATCATGGCTCACGATCATTCGCACCTCATCGCCACTCGTTCTACAAAAGATCTTCCACATCTGCTTACTACCTTCCATCACCAAGCTCCATCTCCATCATCGCATTTCACGATAGTCTCGAAGCCGGACTTCCAACTCACATCCCAAATTCAACAAACCAACACAACACCATGGCCCCACTAAACGTCCCCAGCGCCCTCGCGCCACTAGCCACCTCCACCTACTCCATCCCCGCTATGCCGCTTGTCACGCAACTCTCCGCGCTAGCGACCATCGTCACCCCGACGACTCCCTACACGCCCATGACCTCTCCATCCTCCATTTCGGATATCCTCCACCAGATCTCCAAAGCAGATGTCGCTGCCGAGCCTACTTCCACTTTTGACCTCAAAGTCAAGTCCAGCAGCTCTGGAGCTGAAGGCGGTCTGTCGACTATAGCTGTAGTCGGCATTATCGGTGGTATTCTTGTGGGCATGCTTATTTTGGGGTTTGTTGTTGTGAAAATGTGCCATCATTAAGTGTGGATGATGGTGGGTTAGTTGTGGCACATATGGAAGAACGGGGATGAGAAGGTAGATGTGATGGGTGTTTCTTGGTTGTTTGATGATGGGATGGGTCTATTTAGTTAGATGTTGGATAGATGAGAAGACGATTTCATGCCTTTATTATTTCCTGCTCTTGTGCTATGTTTGCGTCAAATGTATCTTGTTTGTAAAGAATAGGATTTGTGGTGTCTCCCCTAGCGGCACGCAGAATGAACGTACCTCACGCCCGCTGCCCGTGTACCTCAGCGGCTACCTTCTACGTCGCTGTCTCCCAGGCGTTTCTTCAGCTGCGCTCCAACCTTCCATTTCGATATCCAGGTCGTCCAGCTCGGCCGCCAAGTCTTGTCGCGGCTTCTTCGCCTTTCTGACTGGTTCATCGCCGGGAGTGTCGGAGTCAGATAGAAAGCTATCTCTTCGTCGCTTTATGTTGCGACTAACGGAACGCATAGATCGCTCTTTCTGGTGATGTTTCTGGCTAGATGGTGGAGACGACGTTGAAGATGCTGAGTAAGGTGAGTAAGTGAGCGTTAATGTGAAGCATAGAAACTCACTGCTATCCTCGTCATCCGAGTCGACGATGAACCGTCGCTTTCGTTGCGAGATTGGTGACTTGGAACTACTCGTAGATATTGGGGTCTTGCGCTCGAACGTGCTGCCACTCGGAAGACCACGTTCTTTTGCCAGTGCGTTCCTATGTGCATTGGTCAGATACTGTGTCTAGTCATTCTCACGCGTTTGGCTTACTGCACAGCATGTTCCACCATCTCGTATTCTACCTCCGGGCTGGGCTCTCCATCACTCAGATCTACGATCGCTGGTATACGAATCCCTCCAGCTTTTCGATTAATCAGGTCGAGTTGTGCCGCTGCAACCCGGAAAGCGGTATTGCATGGGCGGCACCGTTGCTTTGGAAGACGTTTTGGCTTCGTGAACGAGAATTGAGGGCAGTCGACAGCCATGAGGAGAGATTGAGGCGAGAAGGATGATGAAATGAAAGACGGAGATGTGATGAATGGGAAGGATGATACACTGTCAATCTCACTTGGAAAGCCGAGGTGACCGAGAGCGCGCTGCAAAAGGTGAGAGAACATGGCACTTATCTATGTTGTTTGCGCTGAAGCTAATTTTGCTGTTTGTTGTCTTACCTGTGAGACTTCAATGTCTCAGCGCCCGTTTGAATGGTGGCAGCAAGAGCGAGCAGGCATTGAAAGGAGTAACCGCAGGACAAGGCGCTCATGCAACAAAGCATGATCGAATATCACGTATCTACTAGATGGCTGCAATGCTCTAAAATTTGTACGACGATGCGCGGGAGCTTGCATGCATTGACTGAATGATGTAGCAACCCGAAATCGATCTGTCATTTCTCCCACATACACCAAACGCCGGGTATTGATATCGCTCGATCCACATGTCGCTAAATACAATCCAACCACTCTTTACATCTTTCAAACTCTAGCCCTTTTCCTCATCAGTCTGGCGGTGTATGCAAAGCGCGGCTGCATGTCTATATCCAGATCTAATGGGTCCTCGCTGTCAAACATCTCAACGTCTCTGTCTGCACGTCTACTGCGTACCTCAACACCGAGAAACTCATCAGAGCCATTAGAGATATCAGAATTGAGATCGTAATGAACAGTATTATCGGGGACGACGAACTCGCGGTCGCTGCTGGTCTCTCTGGCGTGCGTAGGGTTCATTGAAGACGACTTCGTTCGTTTGGCGCTCGTATTTGAGCAGTGTTTTGCACTTGAATTTGCGCTCTTGGAAGGCTTTGCATGATGGTGTAGACTCTTTGACTTTGTAGCTTTGCTTTTCGGCTTGGAATGTGGTCTCGATGCGATTGTAGCGGCTGACTCAGGCTGAGGTTCATCGTCGTCCCACTCAAAAGCGGGATCGTTGGGGTCTATCTTGACCATGACCTCTTCGCCGTCTGCATCCAAGCCTGGTTGATGCCGTGCCGGCGGTGCTTCACTCATCCTGATGGCTTGTTTCTTCGCCAACGGTAGATCGCCTTCGCTGTCCATGATGAGGTGATAGAGATCCACAATGGGTAGCGCGGGTGCTACAGCCATTAGCTGAGTGACCTTACTTCTCAGACCGAAGTCGTCGATATCCATAAGACTCATGTTGATAGTCCCAGGCTTGCTCTCTTTCCGGCTTTCATTGAGTGCGTGAGGTTGGCGTGTGCGTCGCGTGGCAGGCTTACGGATCGGTGCTGCTTCTCCACCGCCATCAGAATCTCGTTGTAGTGTTTCTTGGGGTACAGCATGCGATCCATCCTTTGCGGGCCCGCTAGATGTTGGCGAGGAGCGTCGTAGGACGAAGCCTATGGGTGCATGCAACGTATTCGGTAATGCGCGCGGGCTCTCACTCGTGCCATCGTAGCGGAAACCTCGTAGGTTGGGCTCGGCGAGTGAGACATGCGTTCGACGAGGGTCAAAACTACCGATGTTAGCGTAGAACAGGCGTATTGTGAGCGCGATTTGTCTTGACTTACCGCTGGGGAGTGCTTGTCGGCGCGTCATCATCGCTATCGAGCGTGATTGGCAAGTCCTGGGATGCGCCCACTCGGAATCCGGGACTAAACTTGGAGCCAGCTTTGGGGAGCTTGCGCACCGAAATTTGAGGTTTTCGCCTCGCTCGACCGCGTCTCTCTTTGCCTGTTGCTGGACCCATATTGATTTTCTTGATGTTGCGCTGGAATCCCATATTATCCTCCTTCTGACGAGGGTAATTAGGCTTACTTTGTCGAATGGTTTGACGGGGGTTGGGCGTACGGCCGAGAGAGGGCAGAGACTGGTGCGGATCAAACGGATTGAGCCTCGAAATCTCCAGCAGCGTTGCAGTGCGGTATTGCGGCAGTCCACATCGCACTGGCGTATCTTTCCTCCCTCTCAAGATATCCTGATACTGGCTGCTAAGACCATAAGGCAACAATATAGGAAAACAGGTATCCATGGCAAAAAGTGATTCGAAATGGCAAGAGTGAGTCGGGTATATTGGAGGTGAAGGAGAGGTCTAGCGAACGGTCCGGGACCGGAGGCAGATTGGTCAAGCAGGCGGTATCCTTGCGCAAAGAAGTGAAAGAGGAGAGACGATTGCCATCGTGTGCCGGGCGCTGAGAGGAAGCTTGTTGGTGGGGTAGGCCTACGACGAGGAAGGCACAACCTGATCAGCCATGCGGACGACAGCTTTCAACCGCTGATGTGTGGCCGTCGCGGTAAGAGATCCAGCAGTAGTCTCTGCCCTATAGCTTGCATCGAAAATCTTGCAATTATGGCATCTCCAATGACATCCGCAATGTGCACACCCAAGGTCATTGTCAACGCTGTTGTCGCCGTGGCACTCACAACACTGCCATCGCCAACACGGACGAGCGTCTGCCATCGTCACGCTTGATCGAGGTGCGGGTTCAAATAATGAAGGAAGATGAGACACAAGACACGATAGTAAACAATACCTCACATGTTATCGAGCTGAAGATCCGGTGAGGAGCCCCGCCATGCCACCTGCCACCCATTGGACGCAGCGCAACTTTGCGCGCTCATGCTTCTCAGTATGATACCAGTCACGAAATTAAGCTTAATGGCAGAGAGCAAGGCAATACAGAAGAATGCAACAAGAACAGAACCCCAGCATGGAAGTGCGTGGTACGACCGTGAGACGCTAAATGACGATGCAGCGCATATCCAAGAGAAACCCCGCCCATCGGATGGAGACTTAACTCATGGGTAGGATGGGCTTAGCTGGATTGACTGTAACACTGCAGACAGTCTTTCGGGGCATGACCCCATATGTAGTATCAAGGTAAGCATATCAAGAGAGCTGAAGTGTCTGGCACTGATGATCGGTCGCGCCCAGAAGTGGTGGGCATGATGTGGGTGGGACGGGCGCTGAGTCAGCCCGGGAGCAAGCGCCGGCCTCGGCTCACACGAGGAAGCTACCGTACCGCGCGCCCCCAGGGCCGCGCCCGCTGATGTTCATAGCACTCCATCATCGCATCTCTTTGCGCATCAACCTTAACTCCATCACGCGTTTGATTTGTGCTATGTCATAGGGCGTACATACACCCCCAGTCTCAACAACCGTCAACAAGCGACGCCGTGGCAATAGGCTGTACCCACCGCGGAGACAATACGAGCAGCCACAATACTGCAGTCATGCTACACCATATATCCTGCAGCTATACCATGTCCAGCAGTACCACAAATGACGCGATCTTACCTAGACCGGTGATGGTATTTGGACCGGGATGATGAGACGGTACTCAGCAGCCAATCAAGCACGCGACGTGTGGTGAGGCACGGCTGAGATCTGGGGGCCAAAACGGAAATCCTGTTCTTAGGATTTCGGAGGTAATAGCTTTAATAGCGCCTCTGCGACAACAAAGTGGGCGCGTGCCCAGCCCAAAGTCTACGGTATACTTACTCCGAAGTTGACCTCGATCTTTTGCAGAAGAGACAAACACTCCCAGACTTAGCGACAGACCTGCTGGCCCCCGTGAGGCTATAGCTTCGCTGCTTCTAGAAACCCTCGAAGTATTCTTGTGGGCACTGAAACATGAGGTTTGGGCGTGGGCGGGATAGTCCTGAACCTACAGATCCGGTCTTCGACGAGGACCAAGATCTCAGCGAAGTCTGGCCACAGGTCGTGCGGCAGTATGAGGACACCACCAAGAAAAAGCTAGATAGTACTACTACCTTCAAGAGCTTCCAGCTGCAAATTGATGCAGACATCAAAGAGTCAACGACGAAAAGCCACCAACATGCTCGAACTGTTCTCAACAATGTCGGTACCTGTCTCGAGAAGTTTGGGAGCATTGTCGCACAAGGGGCAAGTGTAATCTTCGGACCAACTGCTCAATGCTGGAATGCGATAAGCTTCGTGATTCAAGCAGCACGCGGCATCAACGATATGATGGACGGGTTCGTCACTCTAATGGAACGCTCATCCGCCTTCTTGCGACGTCT